CGGTTTAAGGGAGCTAATGCGCTATATGCTTTTAAATGCAGTGCGGGTTTGTGTCTCTGCAAACCTAAAATGCACGACTTGTCATGCACTGTCCCTAACTTACTGACTGACTACAGGCTACACAGGGCTAAAAGTTGGTCAAATTAATATAGTTAAAAGCCAACAGTGGTCTCTGACCTGAGTAACTGAAATGAGTTTCAGTCAACTGTACTGCAATTTTTAACCACAACGCATTTCTGTCCCCACCTGACGGTTCATGTGGCCCCCCATCTGTAAAGCTTTTCGGAGCCAAACTTGATTTATATGAATTCTGAAATAAAACAACAGCTAAGGACAGAGTTCGGAAAGTGTGGACTTCATTAGACTTAATGATGAGCTTAGCATGCACCTTAGCAGGGATACAGTGCCGTTCTCTAACCCTCACAGTAATACTGGTATTTTTTCCAGACAGGTTCAGGACGGCCGGGGCAGGACCCTGTTTGGAATCTTCCCCATGTGCAGAATTCCCATGCACTGCCAGAAACGCTTCTAGACTCCAGGTGAAAACAGATAAAAAAACCATCTGGTCTCTCTTGGGTGACCCGTCAGGCCTGGATTTTCCACTCAGACTGGGAACCAGGGATGCTCTTCTGGAAGTGAGAACGGGGGCAGTCGCATTGGAGGTGGTGGAGGAGGGAGACCACATCACCACATCACAGGCCACCAGGGTGAAACACAAGGGGGCGCCACTCAGCCTGACACGTGTGAGCTGGAAGGCAGCAGAGTGACCTCAGAGGTGGGAAACGTGGAGGTTAGTATTGCCTAGATTTCACTCAGATCAGGTCCAAGCTCTCCCTGTTACCCACCCACCCCCCACCTAAAACATGCCTGCTGACTAAACACCCAGGACCAGCTCTGTGATTACACAACGCACAGAATATCACACCAAAACCGGCTCTGTCATTTCTAATTGATTTTGCTAATACGTCGACACACAAAGTAATGCCTTTACTGATTCTTAAAACCACTGCAATCAATGTCTAATCAATCTATAATTTGATAACAGGTTTGCTTAGAAATCTCCATAGTCCCTAGCAAATGAAACCACATCTGCTTCCTCTGTGATTAACATTCCTCTTTTATCATGCTGCTTGAAAAAAGTCGTTCGTACAAAATTCGTTAGCTGAGGGTGCATTTTTTTTGCGGCCCTGTTGCTATTCTCACAAACACCCAGCGGATCGTTCTCCTAGTAGTCCCCCTGGTCCCAGTCTCACAAGCATTTGGGGGCCTCAGTGTGTGGCTCAGCAGGATGAGTCTGTGGACCTGTGATTGGCGGGTCACCAGTTCAAATTCCTGGACGTGTGGAGTGATTTCGCCAACTGGCCCCTGCGCAAGGCCCTTAGACCCCTATTGTCTGAAACCGTCAGACCCTGCCTTCTCAAATATGTATCTCACTTTGAATAAAAGTGTCTGTTATACTGTAATGTAGCATGTGCTGTTTCAGAAATGGCCCATATGTGGCTTGGAGGTTTAGGACACTGTGACTGTAATCAGAAGGTTGCCGGTTCATATCCCAGTCAACAGAGTGGCTTGACCGTTGGGCCCTTGAGCAAGGCCCTTATTCCTCAATAAGTAATAAGACAGGAGCTGGCTTAATAATTGCGTCTGTTTTGGGGGCCCCTGTTGCATGGTGGATTGGAAGACGCCACTTTTACTCATGAGTCCCGGATAGACAGGAAAACTCAGGGCTCAGCCTACCAGTACTGTATCTCTCAGGCCTTTAGAGTCTTCCGTCTGGATTTGGGGGCAGAAGCCGGGGGGCGGGGACAACCGACAGGACTCATGAAAACATCCGTAATGTGCACACGAGGTCCATGTGACTGACATGTGACAGCAGGACATGAGCTTTGCTCTTTACATTGTTTCAAGCTGTCAAACCAGGCCACTCCTAGGGTCAGTGCATGATTAAGGCATGAAAACATGAGATTGCATAAGCAGGGGCTTTGGCCTCGGTGAGCCCATAACCCCAGTTTGCAGGACTCAGAAAGAAGGCATTTCCCAGTGCCACCCTCTCGTCACATTTACTCGAAATCTCAGACTTCACTAAGTCAAAGGCACTTCTGATTTAATGTGAGTAGAGCACCACCTTATGGCCATGTCTGTAAACAACAAGAAAGTTGGGGAATACCTTGATTTCCCTGATTTGCTTCATATTCTTATACATGCATCTAGCCTTTTGTCTTTGATAAAATTTTGAAATGTGGGTCTGAGGGGATCCAGGAGGAACCCCAATAATAAAGAAAACTTTAAGTTTGCCATCAGTTTAAGGGATTTCCCAAGCCATCATCCCCAAGGGAGAAATGTGCCATTCCATTGCATGTTCTTTGCATATCTGAGATGGGTGTCATCTGGATAAAGTGAATGCATTCTATATCTTCCTGCAGATCTTTCCATGGTGGAAACGGGTTCAACAAGACTAGCGGTGAGAAATGAAATAAAAAAAATTTTTGGCATCAGACAGCTGCAACGGCTTCTGAGTCGCGTCGGGCTGGGGGCTGTGGGATGTTTGCAGGAGGAGGCGTAAAGAAGCCAGTGTATATATGCTACAAGTATCAGGTGACAGAAGGAAACTGAAAGTACTACAGTCACCTTAATTCACCAACCAGATACCAGTCAGTACTAGATCTACCGCATATCTAAAATGGAAATCCCGTAATTAGTCACACTTTCAGTAAGTTCATGAACAGCAAATGTATTTTTTTCAAAGCCTGTACAATAATTCTCCTTTTCGTATATGTGTGTTGTAAGCCTAGTAATTTCCAAATCTAATTACAATGCCCTGTGAGAAATGAGTAAACGCCAGGAGAGGAGTGCGTTTCCTAACTTAGAGCAGCAGGAGGTGCTGTTTTGGGTTCTCCTCTGACTGTATGCTTTCATGCCTGCGTATGTCTCAGAATAATCATTCTCCACATTGGAAAATGAAAGGCCGGGAACCTGCAGTCACAGGACAAGCAGGAACACACTGCTTTCTTGGAAACTCACCGAGCATATCCATGCATCCATCCATCCATCCATCCATCCATCCATCCTCAAACCGCTTTTACTGGTTGGGGTCACATGGGCAAAACTCTGCTGACCCAAGGCTGAACCACGGAGGCCCCTGCAGTATGTTTCAGCTTGCTAGCTACAGTATTTATGTTGACACGGAAACAGCCACACTCCCGGTGATTAATTGCGGATGAGTCATTTGTGAGATGCTGTTATTATGTGCAAGGGAAGGCCAGTTAGCTTGGAAACAACTACACCTAGTGAGAAGGGTATCCCACAAAGCCCCAAGCAATGCGCAGACAGGTTTAACCTGCATTCCTGCGCAGGCGCCTTGCTTCTGTCTGCGTCCATCTGTGGCTGGTCAAACGGGAACAATGAAGTCACCGACCAGGCCAGTCAAACCGCTTCCTTATCCAGTGCCGTGACACAATTAATAGACATCTCTTTTTTGAGAATTGTGTAAGAGTCACTTCTTACGAGAAACAAAACAAAAACAAAACTATCCAGCTGTTTTCCACAGTTTGATCAAGTCCTCACCATGCTGAAATGCTACTGAACTTTGAGCTAGAGGGCTATTCTGTGCTTGTTCCCAGTCCGGTTCCTCAGCCCTGATTTGTCGAGCCTCCGTAAGATTTTCAGGTGAGGTGACACTCTGCGGGAAGTGTGCAAACCTTGTGTGGCTTTCAAATCAATGAGCTCAGATGCCTCTCAGTTAAGCCCAGTGAGAGGACACTACTCCTCTCATTACCGAAGCCTCTACTACTGCTGCAGGCAGACCCTGCATTGGCGCCCTTGGTTACAGCGGCACCAGCCGTTGCCATGGCACAGCCTCTGTAAACCTCGAAGGCAGGCAAGGTGATTCAGACTCGATGGGAGCAGCAGAGTTTGATGGATTTAGAGCTGTTGCACTCAAACCAGCCCCACAGAATCTCTATTAAGGGAATCTCACAGAACGGAGACCCCAAAACAAGCATCACCACAATAATCCATTGCTGCATACACTGTTATGCAGTGCAACAGCTTTGGTCCTTGTTTATGGAGATTAGATGGAGACGGAGATTGCAAGGCAGCCTGATACAATAAGAACCTGTGACTCTGGACCTCACTTCAGGAGGAACTGTCAAGTTGGCTCAGATGAGACTGGACTCGCAAATTCACTCTGGCGTGCCTTACACTGACCGTACTCTCACACAACTCTCACCGTGTGAGAAATGTCTCACAAGGATATTCTCACGGATCATCTGATTCTGTCGCCGGGCAAGTCCGTGGCTTTAAATAACGAGTATAGTTCTCAGTCAATTTCCGGCCTCAGATTTACACCAATAAATTTAATATTTAGTCAACAGCATTTTTATAAGTAATGGCTTTCGAATCAGAAACTGATTGGTCTATTGGCGGCACAGACTTGTCCGACTGCCAGTGCATTTCAGATTTAATTTCCTGTAAGCTTAGATGATGACATTCACAAACATCCAGTAGATGGCATGTTTGTTTTTCCAAAAAAAGAACAAACTTGACACCATGAAGCAAGCTGCAAATAAACAGAAATCTCTGACAGCCATACAATCATACGGCGAGAATGACAGCTCTGAAAATAAAACCATATCAAAGGACGGGTCAACAAAAATGAAATGTTATAAATCAGTGCACTTGCGTATATAAGACATATCTTCTGACGATACTGTCCTGTTTCAAGATCGTTTCTGTCCTGACAAGCCCCTATTGAGACACAAGAATATTTAAATGATTACTTGTCACAAGCCATTTTTACCCACTGATTAGTCAATACAAATCAACCAGCTCCTGTAAATTTATAACAATTCAGCCAACAATAACTCCAGCAAAGTGTAATGCAATAGTAACTATATATTGTAATAGTAGAATTAAATCTGTCTTGTCAAAGTATTAAATTAGTCTCAGTTCCAACAAACACCTCATCCAACAAAATAAATACACAATACAAACCACACAAATGATGGAAAACATTTTCTTTTTAATTTACAATTTACCACAAAATTAGTATGGTTCCAGTCTCAAAGCTTACATAATTATCAAAATCTGTATGGAAATTTGTATTTATAAATGTACAGTACTCTTTATTTTTAAACAATGGCCCAAAATCCCTCAAAAGTAGATATACGTTTGTGCTTAAGAGATAAAGGTGATTTCATACAGTTTGCTCATATAGTGACTACAGCAGTTTTTTACAGTCCTTTCTAGAAACATTTTCAGTAAAAAAAAAAAAACCTGGTTCTATCTGACCGTACCATAAGTGACAACGTCACAATGAGAAAATTAAATAATTTCTATAAATATCTTTCATTCACAGCATTTCATTTTCGGCTATCACTTATAAAAATTAGCATCTAGTCCCTAACACACAATCACTTTAAGTTTAAAGACCATCACTTGGCTGAAACATCAGTTACGTATTTACAGCATTTTGACCTGAAGTAGTTTGTGTAAGGCACAAGGGAGGGGGGGGGGGAGAGAGACCATCACGAAAGAATAAAAAAAGAAAAATACAGCAACAAGTGTTCAACTCATTCGAGAGCTGGATCTCTGTTGTCCCTGACACAATAACCACAATGTCATAGGTTTATACAGTAGTACATAAAAAGGTTCCATTCCACTGAATCCGATTAATGTGTGGTGCCCACTGAGTAAATCACCCAAACTAGGGTAGAGTAAGGGGGTAGGTCACAGACCTACACAGTCATTTTCTTAACCAGAGCCAATCAGACTCTGAAATACGGGCCCAGAGGATTCAACTCCTCTTTAATTCAGTACTGAAAGTAAATCAGGGGAAGGTTGACCTTTAGAAACATCAGCTTCTCCAGGTTTTCCAGCAAAGGCCTGGATTGATTCAGAGCAAAATTTGTGCTAGCTGTGCTGAGCAGGGTCTCTGCCGGGACAATGGTAGGTGGGCAGCCCACATAGCGGACCGCCACTTTGGCAAGGTCTGGCCACAGGAACTTCTTCAGGTTCCAGTAATCGAGAGGATCACAGCTTTGATCGAGTATCTCTTCCTCTAGGTACTCCAGCACTGCCAGCTCTGAGGATTTTGGTCGTTCTTCCTGCTTGATTTTATTCCTGATGTCATCCATGAGGGCCCAGAGGTTGTCCTTGTTTGACTGAGTGCTGCTGGATGTAGCGGGGGCATCGCTGCATCCATTTGAAAGGAAACTCTTGGTCTCAGCTGAGGTAGATAGTGACTCCTCAAGTTCCCGGATGAGGTCTTGCTTGCACTGCTCCGCCTCCTCCACTGTGAACAGGGTTGTTTTGTACCGAGGGTCCAGCATCGTGGCCCACATGTACCTCGCGTCATGAAGTGTTGAAGACATCTGACTCACCATGGCTTCCTTCAGGGACTTGAGCATATTGTCGATGCCCATGGTCTCATCGAAGAGCAAGTCGATCTTCCGGTTGAGGATGTGAATGAGCGGTATGACCTGGCCGAGGGTGGCTGTCCGATTGCTCATCTCCCTGCTGGCCACCTCGAAAGGCTTCAAAGCATTGCATATGGACTGTACCACCTCCCACTGGTCACAGCTGATCAGTTCCCTGAAGTTACACTCGATAGACATTTCGTCAATTGCCTTCTTTTGTTCCACTAGCCGCTCCAGCATGTAAAAGGACGTTTTCCATTTGGAGGGAATATCCTGAACCAGCTGGTTCTCTGGTAACTGGTGCAATTTCTGTAACTCAGCCAGCTTATCCTTAGCCTTTGCTGAGCGATGGATACGTTCGCAGATCTTCCGGGCGATGCTCAGCAGGTTCTGAACCATCCTTTGGCTCTTCAGGGCCTCACTTACAATGAGGTCAATGGCATGGCCAAAACACTGCACCGTGGCATGACTGCTGTCATCCAGTGCATTCCTAAGGCTTGGGTTATCAGTCACAACGTACCCGATTTTCAGACCTGAAGAGGTGATCCACGTGTCCCAGAGGTACTCAAGCTGCTTCTGGATGCTTGATACATCGTAATCACAGTCGATCTGAGAAACACCGAGGAGGGCAGAGCAGTGGAAGTCCTGGCCCTGAGGTCGAACGCACGACTCGTAAGTCACCCAATGTGCGGTCAGAATAAGGTATTCTCGAGTCTGGCTGCTGACCCAGATGCTTGTGGTAAAATGGACAATCTCACCCTCAGCTTCTTTCATGTGTGTGCCAACAACCTCCTTCACCCTCTCATACATTTCTGGTATGGCGGCGCTTGTAAAATAAGATGGAGAGGGCAGAGAGTACTGTGGCTGAAGATATTCCAGCAATCGGTTCAATCCAACATTCTCAACCAGGGCTGAGGGCTGAAGGTCTAATGCCAGCATTTCCGCAACAAGCCTGGTGATTTTTTTGGCCACCGGGTGGTACTCGTCAAACCTTTCCTTGTTTTCCTCATATGGGGAGGTGTCCATGAGTTCTTGTTTCACCTTGGTGTCAGCAGAGGAGACAACACCTGAGATACCGCCGTTACTTTCAAGAACGCTGCCGTGAAATCTCTGCATGTGCCTGAATAAGCAGCTGGTGCCAAGGTTTGTGGTCTTTTTCCCCCTGCTTATCGTGCGGTTACAGTGCAAACAAACCACTTTTGTGGGATCTGCGGCAGAAATAGAAAAATGATTCCATAACTTCGAAGTCTTTTTGCTAAAAACAGGCAAGGTCTGTGGCTTCTTCTCGGTGGGATTGCTGCTGGTTTTAGAGGACGGTGCTTCAGGAGTCGCGAGGGTGGCATACGGAGAATGAGGCGAAGACGTTTTGCCATACGTGCTGTTCTGCTCTTTGAGAACATCAGAATGGCGCCTCATCAGGTGTCTCATCAAACAACTCGTCCCAAAGTCGCCGCGTTTCCCTCTGCTGATGACGCATGGGCAGTATCGACACAGTGCTTTCAGCTGGTCGACTGGCGAGACGATGAAATGGTGCCAGACCTCCGATTTTACCCGTTTCATGATTTTTTTGTTTTGCTGGAAAACAGAACTGAGATTTTGAACGAGACTTGGGCCTTCTGAACTATCATCTGGTGAGGAGCTCAGTGGCAGATCTTTGTCACCTTTTTGCCCAGCTGACACATCAACTGAAGACTCTTGCTCTTGGCCTGACTGATATGACGCATCGTTCGAGTCCTCTTTCATGTCAACGCTCTCTGTAAAATTTAAGGGCACCTCGTCAGACATTGTTTCAGGAGAGGAAGACACAGAAGGTTCTTTTCTCATCTCACCCACGTCCTGCAAAGAAAAACGTGGCAGAAGAGTGGGCGGAGCGGTATATGGAGGTGGAATGTTTGAGCCTCGACTATTTTCTTCTACAACAATGTCTCTGTGGGCCCGCCACATGTGTCGAATCAGACAGCTTGTCCCCAGGTCTTTCCCGTTCTTGCCTCGACTGAACTCATTCATGCAGTGTATGCACACTGCCTTCGAGCTGTCCGCTGGGGACAGGTAAAAGTGTTTCCATACTGCAGACCTTCTCCGGGAATTTGAGCTTTTGGGAGTCGTGTGAACACGTTCTGACGGACCGTCCATGGTATCCTCGGCATGGTTTGCACTGGAATGTACAGAAGAAGCCGCACCGTTGTTTTTGGTGTACTTATCTGATTTTGGTGCTACTGGGGGCACCTCTTTGGGTACGGCGTCTGTGACGTCCGAAGAGGAGGCAGATATGGAGATGCTTTTCTGCACTGCCGGAGTTTCTATAGCTGCCAGTTCCCTTTTATCTGGCGAGTTCATGGGCGCTATTAAAGAGGAAGATAGAGAGCTGGTGAAACTGCCAGAGGGGAACTCACTCTCCTGCAACAGTGCAGTGGGGTGAGCCCGTCGCACGTGTCGCATCAGGCAACTGGTGCTAAGGTCTTTTTCGTTCTTGCCTCGACTAAACTCTTTCAGACAGTACATGCATATTGCCTTAGTACCATCTCGAGGCGATATGAAAAAATGGTTCCAAGCAGGGGACTTTTTCCGAGGGTTAACTGAATTTCTCATGGAGGACAGGAGGCTTTGTGTCACAGCATCCATTGCCACATCGTAGAGCGTGCCGCTTAGCAAGCTACTGTAATCCTCATTATCCCTGGTAGCAAAATGTCCTACTGCGTTATCAAAGGCTAGAATTTCATCTTCTTGGATGCCCTCATCCAAAGCATTTGGTTCCTCATCTTTGATATGTAGGTTTTTTTCACTTTCTGGAGGTTTATTTTTCTTTTCCGTCTTGGACGAACAATCTGTACTTTGCCTTATATTGGTAGAGGCTGGAGAGTTTGGGGAATCCTCCAGATTATCATGGCTGTCTCCAGGAAATGGCTGTTCAGGTCCTGCGGAGGGTTCTGACACTTGTTCATAAACCTGAGTAGACTTTCCTTTTGGTGTCCTCTTAGTAGAAGAGGACCCCAAGGATAATTTTTTACCCAGTGTCTTTGAAGACCTGGAGATGGACTTCACATCCACAGTCTGAGGATTAATGCTGTAGGATTTGAACACGTAACCATCTTGGCCCTCGATTTTCAGGCAGGTTCCTTTGGCCTCTAGTTTTTTGCCTTTTTCCACACAGTCACTTTGTTCCGGGCCTCCATCATCACTGCTGTATGAGAGGCCTTCCTCACCGTCCATGATGGCAGACTAAAATTCTGCCCGGGAATTGTGTGTTCTGTTAAAACCTGCTGGGCAAGTGATTGGAATTCATTGGTGAGCTCTGCACATCTGTGTCAGCCACCACTGCAGTGCTCCGCGCAGTTCAGCGTCCTACCAAACAGATGCAGAAAGTCTACGTCTGTTTAGTTCTCCAATAAAAGGAAAAACATTCATAAATCATGGGTCTGCTTATGGGAGTCATGAAGTCTGGCAAGAGAAAAAAAGAAAATAAACGTTACTCAAACATTTTACAGCACAATAATAAGTAATAAGAATATAGGTATTCCTGAAATGAATATACATAATGACAATAACACAAGTTTTTGTAAATACCAACAAAAGACACTTCATTCATTGTCCTGGCAGAAGTAACAACATGTAAATAATGAACCTGGACTGAGAATTATCTGGAATACTATATTTTTCTGGTACTGTATATGCTATAGTAAGTTGACCAAAGCTTCATTAACCACACTTGGTAAAGATAAGATCTAAGTCTACATAAGAAAAAGGACACTGCACGCAAAACGAACCATTAAACTCAATTCCTGCTACAAAAGGTTGCACAATGTATTTGATGTAAGACACGAAAGAGGTTATCAGGATAATGATCAAATTAAGCGGAAGACTGAGGAACTATTTAAAGTGACATTTGTTAGTGTTAACACTGATGAGACTGATATTTGCGATGCAGTTACAAATGTCAGACTGTCGTGAGGCTGAAGCAGAAACGTAGTCGAGTTCACGCAGAGACGTCAACATGCTCAACAATATCCATCAATGAAATGCCCTGCGCAACAGACCTGCGTAACTTTCGTAACCAACCGTGGGAATAACGGTGGATCGCCGAATGGCAGGGTTCGGGAATACAGCCCTGCGGACAGAGGCGCAAGGTGAGCGCACACCGCGGGCGGCCAGACACGTACCGAAAGCCCTGCTATTATAACTGCATTGTGTACAAAACAACGTAAAGACAAAGGCGGCCATCTAGCGCAGCGTATGGCCGCGATCTGTCGCTGTCGTGGTCTTGCTATAAAGAAAAGGAAAAAAAAAATCCACTTTCATGCATACATTCCGAAAATCACCCGGAAACTGCACAGAAGCGCTTAGAATACAAAGCAAGGGCTGTGTAATAAAAGAGAATGTGTGGTTTACCCTGCTATTGATCCGTATGGTGTCTCCATCCTAATCTACACGGCTAACTGAAAGGACTGGTCAGCACAGGATGCAATGTATCCTTCGAGCAGGCTGACTACCCACATCGTGAAGTTTTCTATAGTTAAAAAGGAGTCGGGAGAAATGTCCAACACAACACGGTCGGGTGAGAAAATTGGCGTTATTGTGGGGACCAAAGGCGACAGGTCGGACAGCTGGAAAACCGCGATCGCCGTGACACTGGACAAACGCTCCTTAAAGACGGAGCTATTTTTAACCCCGGACCCTTTAGGCATGGGTCAAAAGCAGCGTAATTTAACAATACACCGCAAACAGTAGTCCCCATCTCAGCCGACTGCGCGTGCAGTACTTTACATGGTTAGAAACTAACACAAACCAGTGAAAGGTCGACTTAGTTACATTAGTCGACACCATTTACATTAAAGCGAAAATAAAAACAAACAAATCAGATGACTAGGCAGATGTTACTAATAATCTACCTTGTTGTCCTCGGTACTCCGACAGTTAGGTACATTTCGGGTGCGCATCAGGCATCAGATTGACATTTCCAGTTCCATAAGGTGAAAAAGATCGCGGTAATCCTACACCCTTTCTGTGAATTCACTGCCACGGTAGGCCAGCGCAAAGAACTCGACCTGGCGGAGCAGAACCGGATCCTGGCAGCGGAGGTGTAAAGGAGAATCAGTCGGAGAACCGGATCGACCAAAAGCGGCCCTTGTGTGTTTAAACTGTTTAACCCTTTGAGGGCGATCCGGCAGATCGCGGCGCACATACCTGTCAGCCCCGAGGTTTGTGTTCGGCCGGTTTCGGGAGCTAAACGGTTAAAGTTGTGCGAAGTATTCGCTTGATCTCCGGGATCGGCGCTTTTGTTCCGCACGTTAACATCGGAGAGCAGGAGGCTCCATGGGAGCTCGGGCCGGAAGCAGCAGCGGCGCGCGCCGCTGTCTGACGTCACGCGGCTCACGGGCCCCAAGATGGCGACGTCGTGGCCGTAAGAAGGAAAACACAACCGCCCTCGCCGTATTTCCCGTCAGCGGCGAGTCCTCCGTGTGCCGACATCGCTCTGAGCGTGAATAGGTCGATAACGTCCGTCACATCCATCCAGCATTTTTATTGGAGGCAATTTGATCACCGAAATACCGACACAAATGAGTACAACCACGCTATGCTTTTGAAGTATCTTATCAGTATGGTTTAATTTAAACCTTCACACACGGGGTTTCTTGACCTGGAGGGGCTCTTTCAGGGGCTGGGCGAACGCCATTATGGGTGGGTCAAATCAAGAGTGCCCCAGCTGGTTTGGTACTGGTACCTGACTGGAAATAAATGGAAAAGAGAAAGTACCGTTTTTAGTACCTAAAGTACAGTACATTGTCGTGGGAAAGTGCGCTTAAATTTCACGTCAAAGGCACTCCGACTGAAAAGACAATGTTTTATATGCTGTAAATCAAGTGCATTTATTTACCTGAAAAACAAGCATAGCTAAACAGTTTTATTATATTCAGTTCGTACAGCTGTACGTGTAGTTACTCCAATAAAAGAGTTTTTGCCTACCCGTTATTTAATCAGCTCAATATTTAGTCCAACTAAATTGGCTTATAGAATTGTGCTGCTAATTGGGCCGCATAAGATATTTTTGTTAATGGTTAAATGATACCAACACCGATACAGAATGAGACGAATTCACTTGAGTCTTACGGTTTTAGCCACTTCCGGGTCGCCCGCCACGCCCTCTATGCGTAATTACGCCATGCGTGCGATGGCGCACGGCGGGCGGGGCCTCCGGTGTAACCGCATTGTTGCTGGGGGAGGGAGAAAGAGAGCGAGCGAGAGAGACGGGCTTCGTGATGAGAATCCGGACCTTTCGGTTGTTGCACGGTCTATTTTTATGACGAGGGTAGACCCCAGTACCGAGGCCGTGCGGTCCGAACGGACGCCCCCGGATACCTCCAGAGCCCGAACCCGCGCCTGAGAGCCGAGCGACGTCCGTTGGATGAGAAGACCGCGCGGGATCGCAGCCGTTTGGGCAGGCCGCGCCGCCATTGCTCCCCTCAGCGCTGCCCTGGTCTAACAGAAAGCTGTGGGGGCGAGGGGTGTGCGCTCCACGATTCGCTCGACAAGCACAGGCAAGTATCATAAGTGTATAAACAAAGGGATCCAACATGCGCCTTGCGGGGGGAGGGGAAGTGGAAGCGCCGCTTCTTCTTTTTTTCTATTGACTCTGATTCTTGTTTTGCTGGACGCCATGTTTGCATTTTCTTGGCTTTATTGTTATGAGACTGGCCCGGCGTCGCAGCCCTATGCCTGGGATGGCCGCTGGTGGCCCACAATGGCACGCAGGGAGGGATGGTTATCCGGGAGGGGGGCGGGGGGAAAGAGGTCTGCTGGCAGAGAAAGAGATCCGCTTGGGGGTGGGGGCAGAGAACACGGCTCCTCTGTGCCCCCATGCACAGTGACGCCGAGCCGCAGAAAGACCTCCGAGCCGGGACGCTTTGGCTCGTTTTGTGCCGCCTTATTTGGGGGCTGTGCGGTTTTCCACCAGAACTAGAAGAACAAAATCACCTTACACCAGTGATCCCCGAGTTTTCTCGGAGACCCGTCACGTGTGTGGTTCACGTTCATCATTGTTTTAGGTGGACGGTTAGCTGGACCCCCTCCCCCCCCGGGGAGTGAAATGGCCCCCGGCACCATCCTGTCGCTCGTGCCTGCCGTCTGATCTCCGTGGTGCTTGTGTGTGCCATGCTGGAAAGCCGTGCTCGTGACTTCCGGAGCTGCCATCAGTCGTCACTGTTGGAGTAACTAAGTAAATAAGTCTTGCCATTGTAACCTGCTGAATGGCACAAGAGCAGATTCCATCCTGGGCCGTGAAAGAGTCGACCCTGTCCCTAACCACTGCACTCCTGCACTGTGTGCTGGACAGTGTACTAAAGCACCTGCAGTCTTTGCAAATTGATCTGCTTACATTTGCTGTAGTGATTTTTCTGCAGATTTGTGAAGTCATTTTACTTCCAGTCTGATCTGCCCTGATTTATTTCCCAATCAAGCTGTGACACCTCTTTACTAGAAATGATTAATAAATGCCATTGAAGTGTGTGTTTCTGCTTTGTATTATTGTACCTAGAAGTGAAAGAACCGTATAAAGCTTGGAACCATATAATTAGGATAGATTTAGTTTAGTTGATATATTTAGATTCTGAGCAATGAAGTGAATAAAATCATGTTTAGAATTTGGTGATAAGTGTTGACACACCACAACGAAATGTGTCCTCTACATTTAAGCCATATGCTCAGGGTGCCTCAGTGGTGCCTTGCTGATCGGGGATTCGAACCAGCGCTCTTTCAGACTTCAATTACAAGTGCGTTTCCCTAACCATTAAGCCAACACATCACACTTGTATGTTGGGTGTGGTATCCTTGTACTGTTGTCTTTGCATACGGTGCTACTCCATGTTCTGATCACCACAAGTGGAATATATGATAATTCACAGGTAAACATCGTACAATACTTGTTAAACACTGTGAGGCGTGTTTGTGATCGCTGCGGAGACTGGAAGCATGGCTGGGTCGGTGCTGCCACTTGCCAGGCATCAGTAGAAAGCATTACTAGCTAGAAAGCAGATCGAAATTTGATGGCTAACCAATGTACATCTTAAAGTCGGAAATATTGCAAGTTGAGTCGTCATGAAATGAAGAGCGTCTGTATTTTCTTTTCCTCTTAATTGTCCTGAATCTATCTGGATATCCTCCTGAGTGTCTCTGTCTTTCTGGCAGGTTTTATAGGAATCGGACGATGAAGAGAAAAGCGAAGCTACAGCGGACGCCCGTGTCCAGGCGCGCGGCGTCCCCCATCAAGCCGTCGCCCAACCGCGAGACGCTGACATACGCTCAAGCGCAGCGCATGGTAGAGTTGGAGATCGATGGCCGCGTCCACAGGATCAGCATCTTCGACAAGCTGGAGATCATCTCGGACGACGACGCCACCGCCCAGGAGATCGTCGAGTGCAACAGCAACAAGGAGAACAGCGAGAAGCCGCAGCAGGCCCTTGTACGGTCCGTCAGACTGAAGAACAGCCAGCAGAAGAAGAGTGCGGCCCTCACCGCCTCGCCGGGCACCCAGGCACCGGGAGGAACCCTGAAGGAGCCTAAGATCCGCACGGTGGAGTACAACCTACCTGTGGTGCCCCGCCGGCCTCCCACCTACTACACCTATGTGGAGAAGACCCCAGAGGAGCTGGATGAGGAGGTGGAGTACGACATGGACGAGGAGGACTTTGCATGGCTGGACCTGGTCAACGAGAAGAGGCGCGGCGAGGGTTTCAGCCCGGTGTCTCACAACGTCTTTGAGTTCCTCATGGACCGCCTGGAGAAGGAGTCGTTCCTGGAGAGCCATGGCCACGGGGAGCCGCTGATCGACGAGGACGCCGTGTGCTGTATCTGCATGGACGGCGAGTGCCAGAACAGCAACGTCATCCTCTTCTGTGACATGTGCAACATGGCTGTGCACCAGGAGTGCTACGGCGTGCCCTACGTGCCCGAGGGCCAGTGGCTGTGCCGCCTGTGCATGCAGTCGCCTTCGCAGCCAGTCGACTGCATCCTGTGTCCCAACAAGGGCGGCGCCCTCAAAAAGACCGACGACGACCGCTGGGGTCACGTGGTCTGTGCCCTCTGGGTCCCCGAGGTGGGATTCTCCGACACGGTTTTCATCGAGCCCATCGACGGCGTGAAGAACATCCCTCCCGCCCGCTGGAAGCTCACCTGCTACCTCTGCAAGGAGAAGGGTGTGGGGGCCTGTATACAGTGCCACAGAGCCAACTGCTACATGGCCTTCCATGTCAGCTGTGCGCAGAAGGCCGGCCTCTACATGAAAATGGAGCCCGTGAAGGGGGCAGAGTCCGATGGCGGCACTGCCACCTTCACGGTGAAGAAGACGGCCTACTGTGAGGCGCACACCCCCTCCGGCTGTGTCAGGAGGCCCCTGACCATCTACGAAGACTGCAAAACCAAAAACGGGCTCTGCCGGGAAAGCAGAATGGCTGGGAGTGTGAGGTTGAAAGGGACTCAGAAGAAGAAGAAGACCAAGAAAAGTCCACCCAAACCTACGGCTGCTGTCCCTGCACTTTCAGTGCCTAGCATTTCACCCCAAAGGTAGATCATAATTTTAGCCACACCTGCAGGATATAGGAGATTAACATGAATCATTTTGGTATAGCTTGGTATTTGTTTGTCTGGGTGCTTCAGGCCTCCCTGACTGTCTCCCCGTTGTGTCCAGATTAAACACAATCCTGAATCAGGTCTCCATCCAGAAGAAGAAGGTGTTTGTGGAGAGGGTCTTGAGCTACTGGATGTTGAAGAGGCAGTCACGAAATGGGCTGCCGCTTCTCCGCAGGCTGCTGTCCGGCCCACAGGCCCAGAAGGCAGTACAGCCGGTGAGTTCCTCCCCGGTTCTTTGGAGCCAAACCCCTCCCTTGCTCTCTGGATGTTGGTCGTGAACCCTGATGATGATGCAGGGCGCTTTCAGCTGAGGCCTCGGGGTTAATGGGCTTCATTCTACAGGGGAAGTATTGCTCCTACCAAAGGCCTTTAAGTAGAGTTGACAGGCTTTCATCTTCTATTATTTGAAGGCTCTCTTGGGCTGCCCTTAGCTCTTGTAAGATTTTCATCTTGGTGCTGAGCATATAGCTGGTGAATAATTTATACTCCATTGAGCTGTGAGGACACCTCCCCAGGCAGCTGAGTGGGGTGGCAGCATGTGCCCCGGGGTCTTAACACGCTTACATTTTCAGAGGGAGACTGAGAGGGGGAACCAGGTGCTGAAGGAGCAGTTGAAGGACTGGCACCGGCTGCGCCATGATCTGGAACGAGCCCGGCTGCTGCTGGAGCTCATCCGGAAGCGGGAGAAGCTCAAGAGGGAGGAGGTGAGCTGGGGCCCCCGGCCACTGCCTTTGGGTCTCCCTGGTCGGCTTTGTTACTGGATGATGGTTGTGTGAGCCATGGAAATGGGTGAGGGGGAGCCTGTCTTGAATCCGTCCCGCTCTCTGACCCCCTGCAGATAAGGCTCCAGCAGACAGCTCTGGAAGTTCAGCTCACTCCGTTCGCCATCCTGCTGCGCTCTGTCCTGGATCAGCTCCAGGAGAAAGACCCCACCAAGATCTTCACCCAGCCTGTCAGCATCAAGGAGGTATGTCGCGCAAAACAGCTCTGGAGTCTGTACATCGCTTCATGATCGCATGACTTTCAGATATCCTTGCATTTTTGGGATCGCTGACATGATTCCTTCTACTTTGTACAAATGCATATTGTTCCGGCCTAATTATGGGGAAGCTGGTTACAAGTACTGCAGTGTCTTGGGTATGAACCAACAACCTTCAGGTTGACCATAGGCTGTGCGACTTTTCAGGTGCCAGACTACCTCGACCACATCAAGCACCCCATGGACTTCTCCACCATGAGGAAGCGAATAAACGCACAGGGCTATAGGAGCCTGGAGGAGTTCGAAGCCGACTTCAACCTCATCGTGTCCAACTGCATGAAGTACAATGCCAAGGACACCATCTTCTACCGGGCGGCGGTGCGGCTCCGCGACCAGGGCGGGGCCGTGCTCAGGAAGACACGCCGGCATGCTGAGCGTGTTGGGTTCGACTATGCTAGCGGGCTGCATCTCCCAGAACCGCCCAAGGTGGAGCTGCAAGCAGCGTTCTCCTGGGATGACGGTCA